TTTTAAGAAGAGGCTCCTCTAATTGAATTTTGAACCTAGAGAAAGTTTATCTATTAGCTGTAATATACATCCTTTTAATATTAATATGGAATAATCTAACCATACTACTATTTTATTTCATTTATGTCTTTTTGCTAGGGACAATACTTGCACGAGAATTGAAGTTGTGAACGTGTCTAATCGTACTAAACAGACATATTTAAGTTTGTTATTTAAGTTTGTTTGATTATTTTAGCAAACTTGAAATTGTGTTCAAACTTACCTGTTTTTTCTATCAAACAGAATTTAAACGATTTTTTTTTTTTATTAAACAAAGCTTGAATTGAGCAGGTTCAACTTTTTACTTGTCAGTTTCAATTTTATGCTAATAACGCCAAATTCAATCTGAACTTCAAATTTTATCAAACTCATTTCAAGTATCAAATAATTTAGTTCATTGTTGGACCAAAAAAATAAAAATGTTGAAGCCCCACTTGGAGGTCCTAGGTTGAAACCCCAGTACTTAGAGATCATTCCTAGGTTCAAATCACCTAGTGCTTTTTGATAAGTTAGTTTAATCCTGCCTTAAATATAGGGATTTAAAAAACTCTGCATAAAATCTTGGGATTTAGTTATTTAAATTAAACGAACATATAACCATTATATAACACTAATAAAATTTGTTAGCGAATAAAATAAAGCAAAATTATTAAGAAGTGATAAGTGTCATATTGTCAGAGTATTAGAAACCTTTTAGAAACTCCAATAACTCAACTGGTGAATAGGGATATAGACAGATAGATTGGAATGATATTGGCTAAATTGACAGATAGATTGAAATGATATTGACAAAATTTAATTGTTTGATTAATTGTAACAAATTTTCTCATGATTTTTTACCTACTTTGTATCACACTATTGACCAAATTTAGTTGTTTGATTAATTGTAATGATTTTTCTCAGGTTTTTTTTTTTTTTACCGAATTTGTATCATACAAATGTTTGCTATAAATTGAATGACAAGGCAAGCATAATTGATTGAATTTTTGAGTATGTTTATCCATTCATCAAAATAAAAATAAAAAGATACAAACAAATGAATCCAAATAATTTTAATTAAAATAAAATAATTGTAAGTAAATGAATATATTGAATCCTATACTCATTAGTTGGGGTGGAAAGGATGTAGAGAGAGATTAGAATGTTAAAAAAATAAATTAATACATAATTGGAGATAAAAGTAATAGAGAAGAGCCTAAATATATATTAGAATTGGCTTAATCAATTTTATTTTTTTTTTAAATAGTAATCCTTCCATCCCCCGTTAAAAAGTATCATACTTTTTATTTTTGAATATCTCAAAATATTTATCATTTTATCAAAACCAAAATTACTTTTGATCTCCTTTTTCAATGTTATCATTATTTTTATCTATATTTCATACTAAATTTAAATTTCAAATTTGAATATTTCACATTAACTTTAAGAAAAATTTCACTGACACCACCATCAAATTACTATTTTAAAAAGGTTGGAATACAGGGGAGTAATTTTGTCCCATAATTGTGGGAGAGCCTAGAATGGACGATAATTCAAGGACTAGTAAAGTGGACCTACCACTTTCCTGGCCTTTGTTGAACAGGAATGTGCCTCTCATCTCGTGTCCTAAAAGAACTCTAACCCTCCAATTTTAATGTTTCTATAATCATGAACGAGTACACTATGGATCGAGATTTTTCTATACATTTGCAGTCTTTAACTTTTTTCTTTTTTTTTTTTGTTATACAAGTTGGACTTCGAATTTCAACTTTGGTTCCATTTAAAAAAAAATTACTAGTTTTATTGTTTACTTTAACCATTTATTTTTTTGCACTAGCATATCTAAGTACGTGATAATTAATTTTAATTCGAATTTAGATTTTATATTTTGTATACGTAATATGCATCTGTTTCGCTAATGCATTCACAATCAATGTAAAAATGAATTATTAATGCTCAATATAAATCATAAATGGCTTCATGTAATGTACTAATTGCAGCAAGATCGGTCATTTATTTCTAAGCCCAAAAAATTTGCCTCTAAGAATAGTGACATTGACGGAGGAAAGAGTGGAATTTCAGTGGCCCTTTATGGACAAGAATTTTTAGCTTATACGCATAAAAGAAGTTGGTTGGATGGCACGCCATCCGACCCAATCCACATCAATTCCACCACATTTTGACGCCGCCATCAATTGCATGTCGACAAAATTTGGCTTAATTTCAGTTTGTACCCATCAACTATACCTAAATTTTTGCCTTAGTTTCTAAACTTCAAAATAGGATATTTTAGTTACTAAACTATAAAATTTGTTTTACTTAAGTAAGATCGTTGAGGAAATGGGTCTGATTTTATACTTATGTGGGTACACTTTATTGTCGAAGTGATAATTTTCGACACGACTCGAACCTGATACGAAATTAGCGGGAGTGAGTTTACTCTTCACAGGTTCGAATCAAATTCGGATCAGACCCAAATGACTTGTTAAGCAAACAGGTCTAATTCAAGTCAACGCAGATTGGCCCATTTTATATGTAATTTTATAATTTAATTAATAAATTAGAGGCAAAAAATAAATAAAAAAAAAATAACTAAGGCTATAAATTAGTATTACGAGAACGGAATCATGAATATTATATGAAAATAAGATATTTTATTTGTGAAAGTGGCATAGTTTTTTTTGTTCATGATTTTTTTGTACAAAAAGAAAAATAAAAAATTACTACAAGATTGGGTTGCAATTTTCTATATGCTTATGGAAACTCCATTATAAAAAAAGAAAACCACCATACTACCAAAATGAGAAGGTTAAAAAAATAAAAAGAAAGTTAAATAAATGAATCTTAACCCGACCTGCCACCGGACTCGATTGCCACCCCTACTTTATAGACAAAAGTGTGACTATTGTATACTTCAGAGTTCAGAGGTTAAGGTGGAATAGGTTTAATCTTTAGTGACTAAAGTGGGATAGGTGCTACAGTTTAGGGATTTAAGTATCTCACTTTAAAATTTGAGGATCAAAGTGAAAATTTAGTTATAATTGAAGGGTGTAAAGTAGAATTAACCCAAGAAATTTAGTAGCCATAATACTCACTGTCTATCCACATATTGTTCACAGCACATGGATTCCTTTTGGAGATTCGATGCATGTACTTGGCTCGAACTTTAGCCCTCCTGGATCAAGTTGTATTGTGACAAAGAGCCCATTTAGAATTTTATTTGTGGTATAGATTTGTTTGATATTAATTGTACTCGTGTCATAAACATATTTTTTTTATCATTTTTTTATACTCTCAACAACATTTTGATTTCACATATATTATGTCATGAAAAATATTACTGTAATTATTTCAAATAATATTATTGTATTCCAACAGTATTATGCATCCATAAACTAACAACATTTTTTTTGTACTTTGCCCCCTAAATTATTTGATTGTCATATTTAAGAATCATATACTTCAAATCATGCTAAAACCACACATTGCTGTTGCTTGAAAATTGATGATATTTTAAAATGATTTTCAGTGAAAGAACTGCAGTACTGTTAGTTTACACCGGTTAACTAAAATACTCTTATTATTCATTTAAAGGTATTAGAGTCATTTCATTCGGACGCAGCTATCAAAATTGATAGATTTTCAACCGCTCAGAGTACTCTGCTATAACTTGATAGTAGAAGCACTAATTTGCAAAATTTTGATATTTTAGCAGTGCAAATGGCAATTATTCCATTCCGAAATTATAAAACGGGGTGAAATTTTAGTAATTTATATTTCAGAGGCTCTATTTTTCATTTAAATCCTGTTGATGAAAACAACATGAAATGTGAAATTAGGTATTTCATTACAGTGGTTTTATACACTTTTTATTATTTATTAGTTAAAAGAAAAAAAAATTCATTCTTAGGCATTCAACTTTGACAACTACTATGTACTAGTTCTAAATCTTTTTGAAAAATCACTCTAACATGTAAATGAATCCAAGTATTTCTTTTTTTTTTAATCTATTTTTTTAGACATGTTTGGGAAAGTTTATTATTATTTTTTTTTAGGGAAAGTTTATTTGAAGCGTAATGATACCAAATATTTTCTCATGGACTTGGATTTATTGGTACAAATAAATAGTAAGATTAAACAACCTTTTATATTTCTTGTTCCAAATTATTTTCAACATTTTATAGTCAACTTCAAAACAAAAAATAGTCAGTGATGCTTATGATAACGATTTTTTAACCATAGTTTATTTATGCATCATCAGAATATCATTTTTTTTGGATGAAATTTTTTCTTAAAAAAAATTCTTTTCTAAGTTTTTATTGCCTGCATGACATAGAATAGAAATACTTTTGGGTTTGTAATTTGTCTCAAAGCTAATTTTGTTAGCACCCTTTGATGAGCATCTAAAGCTTTACACTAGATGTATGATATAATCCTTATTGAAATTGAAATTCTCTTTTTCTATTTCTATGTGTCATGTATCTAACTTGTTTCTCTTAACAAATCTTTAAAATGTCAAAAAAAAAGGAGTTATATAAATTGTAGCCAATAATTTTTTTTTGAAGTGATTATCCGAATTTTTTTTTATTCAGATTCTTAGTGATAAAAAAAACTTTCGAGCTAGCGAAAAATTGGTAAGCATATTAAAAGGCTATATTAAGTTGATTTTTATGATGCTGCAAAAAATAGTTTTAAAAATATGAGACCCAACTAGTTCTTGTTGTACTAGATTTGGATTCCCTTTTGAACCAAAAAAAATGAAAAAAATGTAAAATTATGTTTAGTTTGGTAAGAGAAAGTGAAGTATAATTTTTTTTTTTTTCAAACACTTGCCGAATCTTCAGCAACAGAAGCTGGAGAAGAAAAAGGAAGAAATTGGACAAAGCATGAGTAGGTTGAGGAATTGCCTTCAAGGATGAGATTGAACTCCCAATCTGCCAATGTACATTAACAATATAACAACTCGAACAATTTCCGACCAGTTAGGCAGTAAATGTATTACAACTTTATAATTTTTTTTGTACAAAGAGGAAACATATTTTGGTAATTGATTCACTAGATGCAATATAAACATTATTGTCTTTCGCTGTTCCTTCCAAAATGTACCTAAAATAAACTAACTTTAAAATTTCCTAACCATCCATTTGAATACCATAACGGGTAAGATTTCAACTAATAAACCATTCAAATGTGTCATATTTTTCATTTTGAGATGTTCCAAAATGTTTATCTTACCGCTTTCAATTTCTTCTTTCAATGTTATCTCCACCTTTATCTATATTTCAAGCTGAATTCAATTTTGAAATTTGAATTTTTGAGTGTAAATTTAAAAACAAATTCACTAATATCACCGTCAAACCTCTATTCTTCAAAATAAAGTTAAAAATCCTAAAATGTCATGAATAATTTGGAACAGAGAGACCGTATAGTAGTGGAATAGCAAATAAAAATAACTTTTTTGAGGAAAAAAAATATCAAAAGGAGTTAATTTCATTTGCCAAACTTCAAAAAAATGTTTTCAAAACCATGAAAAATCAAGAGAATAGTTAGAAAAATAGTCATAGCTTTTCCTTTGTTTTTTGTGAATAAAAATTTATGCACAGATTTAGGAGAGCAAGCAGCACCCTATGAGTTGCTATTACTCTTTAGTTATATACCAAGATAGTAAATAAGACTAGTAGTGGTAATCAAAAATATTGTCTTGGTTTAGTGGTGATAAAAATGCAGAACGGATTTAGCCACTTTTTGGCAAAACCCCATTAGATTTCACAACAACAGGAGGAAAGCGGGAGGTCTCGCAATTTCTTGTTCCAACATTAACTGACAAATCAGCGATGATGCCTCCCCTGAAAGCCGCCTTTGTTCTTGCCAAAGAAGGCATTCTTTGGTTTTGGCAACTCATGGATATCCATCACTTGTATTGTCCTTTGCTTTTTGGCTTCACAAAAGCAAAAATACAACACAAAAGGCGAAAACCAATCAGTACGAAAGCAACCAAAACCCAGAGAAAAGTATTCAACACTATCAGCACCAGTATATTACTACTAGTGTATCAGATTCAAAGTGCAAAAACCAGACCATTTTCAGCTTCTTGGTAATTCTCATGCAGCCGCCTTCTTGCTGAATTTAGCTTTTCAAGATCTATGGTTGGTTCCTTTGATCTCTGCACAATCCCATTACAGTAATTAACATCATCTCATCTTTCAAGCATTACACACATCTTTTCCAGTTCTCACTTCTTTTTTGGGACAAAACAGAACTTTGACTAAAAAGCCACATCTGTAACTACAAGTCAACACCACTTTTACTGAGATGCAAAATGCCATCCATCAAAATCAGCACCTATCTTCAATATCAAGCACAGTAATGCCAAAATACAAATATGTTCATTCACCTAGTCTCTTAGATCTACAGTCCTACTGAAAACTAACTTAAACCTATCCAGGTATTCACTTGAGTTTACCCATGTCAACCATTAGACATTAGTTATTTACAACCTAATCTAACCGTGTAAACAGAATCTCTATGCATAAGCTGTACCAGAATCACCTAATTTTGAATACTGTAACCCAAGCAAATGCAATGTACATATACCATTTCACTTGTATAGACATTTATATAAAAGTTTGAGCTAAGTACACTTGGAGGAGGGGCAGAAGCAGATTTGTGAACTGATTGTGGTGGTCTTGATGAAGCTTCTCTTGGAGGAGCCGGTTTTGGCTTTGTCTGTGGTTCGGAGTAATTCTTTTCTGAACTAGAACCCCCATCTAATAAAATCAGCAAAGAAAACAAAACAAAAAGGAAATCGGTATTACTACTATTCAAAATATGACAAATATAATAGAAATCAGCATTACTACTGTTCATCAAGTCTAATATAAAGTAGCAAGAATCTAATTCTATTCTTACTTCGCGGGTTTGGAGAATACCCAAATTCAGACCCCTGCAAAAGATATGACAACTTTAGAACCTCCATCTCAATTCTCCAAGTCCTCATTACTGATTTATGATCAAATTACACTTCATTTTCACCTGATGATGACCATTTTGCTGAGTTTTTGGTTGAATATTTTGTTGAGGTGAATCACCATCAGCTGCCAAGACCACAATTACCTTTAATGAGAATTCACATCTCTTTACTTACTAAAATTCTAATCCAACTCACTTCCCACAGTAATCTTACCAATCACTGATTTCTACAAAAATTTTAAAATACTCAAAAAGAATAATACCAATGAGGGCTACTGATCCTTGATCAGGCTGATTCAACCTCACCCATTCATCTACAGTTTCCTTCCAATTTCTGCTAAAAGTAAAAGAAAATCAGATTTTCAATATCACTATAATAAGTATACAATGAATTTCTAAGTTGCAGAAAAATGATGCAGATTAAACCTGACGAGTAACTTTGCTAATTTTCGAACTTCATTAGAAGGATGTTGTTTCCGGAATCCACTCACAACTCTCCCTATGTCAGTTTCCTGAATAAAAGAAAACAATTCCAAATTTCCAAAATTCACGCAAAATTAGCAACAATAATACTTTCACCATCTACAGAAATTCAACTAAAACATGGGGAAAAAAATTGAAATTCACCTGAAGAGCTGTGAAAGTAATATCCATATCCACTAAAGTTTGCAATAACTCAACCACACTTTCTTCACTCTACATAAAATTCATCAAAAAGTTAGCGAAAACAGCGCAAAAAATTGCTAAACAAAATAAGGAAAAATTTAGTAAAAATTTGCTAACCTGGTCTGGATCTTCGAGCAGTTCTCGAACTTTGACAATTTTCGTCTGCTCATCGTCGAATAATCCTCCGTAAGGATCGATCTCATTATCTTCATCTTCATTTTCATCGTTTCCATGACTCGATTCCGGAGTCAACGGACTCTTACTATTACTACTACTACTCCGATGACTTTGATTCCGATTTTGCTCTTTGTCCTTTTCCTTTTCCTGCTGCTGCTGGTGCTGCTTCTGGCTCGGTGGCTGAAGATAATCGTCCCCGACGTCGTTCGAGTGGCAGTTCCGGCAAACTTGACCGGAGGGGCTCGGAAAGTAAAGCTTCTCGACGATTTTATCCCGCCGATCCTTCAACTCCTCGCTGTAGTCTATCCCCGCCACCGTAATCGCCGCCTCAATCAACGACCATACATCGACTTTCGATTTCGATAATACCACCCGAAATTCATCCAAATCCATCGTTTGACTTTTTTTTTTAATTAAATTCAAATTTCTCTTTTTTTTCCTTCCCTTTACAGAAAATATTCGGAATTTGCTAATTTTTTTCCCTGACGTGAAAAATTATAATTACGTTAGCAGATCTGAGTCTGTCCTGTTTTTAGATTCCTCAAAACGGCGACGTATGGAAGCAGAGACACGGAAACAGTAGTAGTACGATCTGATCTGAGGGCATTTTTAGGGAAAGGAAAAAGGAAGGAGCAGATCTGGTGTCGTTGGTTTTCTGATAGACCCGAAAAAGCTGTGATAAGAAACAAAGAAGGAAGGAAGGAAAGAAAGGATGAGGGGAAAAGTTCCTTTGGCCCCTTCAGAAGTGGATTAGTATTAAATTTTGTAATTTTAGTTTATTCTTTTTGGGTATGATTTTGGTTGAAGTTAGTTGCACTAGTTGTTTCTGGCTATTATTCACCAAATGAATATTTTTTATGAGAAAAAGAATATGAAAATGGAATAATTCTATTCAAATTTCTTTCTATTAGTATATGGATTTTCAAGGGAATTCAACTCATGCCATTAGGATTATTCGATTCTATGTCCTTTTAATGGAAAAGATGTTACATTTTTGATGAGAAAATGTATGTATTTTTGTTTTTGAGATTAAAAAAAATTTCATGAACTCGATTATTTTGTTGAGAATCAGACTCGCAAAATAACCCAATCCCATGTATTAAATGATCTTTATTTTTACTTGTGGATCTCTGCTTAGTCTTTAGGCTTTTTTTTTTTTTTTTGGCATATATACTCTAATGCCTTTTTTTTTCATTTTCTTTCTCAAAACCACTAAATTTTGTAGTTGACTCGAAAAATTTTCTTATTTTATAGTCCTAATGTCATTTCATTTTCTTTTCTTGTCGGGAAGAATGAAGGGTTAATTTGGGGATTGAATAATGCAAGGTTAAGCCACAAAAGCACTACACAATATCAGTGGTGTTAGGGTTTCAATACACCGACATTTTATAAAGTAGTAATCCGTTCTTATTAACTAAAAAAATAATTTGTGCCGACGCGCTATAAAGCCTGTATTAGTAATAAATCAATTATAAATATCATGGCACTAGTGGAAGGCATGTTACAAGTATCTTTACAGATTGTATTGCATGGATTTGTTATTTGCTGTTGTCTACTCTCTTCAACTTTCTCTCTTTTTCTATCAGTTTTCAAAAGCAGAAAAACTTATCCTCAATAGTATTGTCTTCTTCTGATGGTCATGCTTTCGGTTTATTGTCTTTTTAGGCTGAAAATATGCCAAAATCGTGAGTTGAATGCTGACCTCCTGGACAGAAGCATCCTATTGATACAGCAATATGTGTCAAGGATCAACAGAATCAGTGGTATTGCTTTCATATTCAATGCATACAACTAGTTATGAAGAAGTATGAATCCAAAGTGTAATTTGGTTTTTCTTTTTGTTCGTTAACCCTATTTGTAGTCCTTTTTGTTATTGCTTTGGTTTTTCATTTAGATTACAAATCTTGGAGCTTAATGTTATAATTATACTCCAATTCCATATATTTTGGTTTCATATAAGTCCACATGCACTCACTATTTCCAATTGGATATTGTTCAAGAACTAAACTATGCTTTGCACAACTTTTCTGAAAAGTTTGGAATATCAAGATCTTTGATTGAAAATCTTACACAATCCGTATATATATTTTTTATCGATATATCTTTCTCTACTTTAATTTGAAAAGTTGAATTTCATTTTTGTATCTTTCATGCATTTCATAAGATTGGAATAATTAGAGTATGCCATACTTGCCTTTGAATGTTGAAACTACATGCTCTAAAATTTGGAAGGTCTCTTTTTTTCGTTATTTTCCTAATAAGGAAGAGGTGAAATTTAAAAAGCGAGGAGAGGATAGAGAGGCTAAAATCCGAACATCTAATTTTTGAAATTTCAACCTCTAAACCAAGATTTGAAAGGTCTTAAACTCCAAGAGTTAGATAATTACCATTTTTTTAAGTGACATGAAGATTTTTTTTAGGGAAGTTATGAAGATTCGCCACGATTTAAAACTAGATTAAGAGTGCGTTTGATAAAATTAAATTCTGAATTCATTAAGTTATCGAATTGTTAAGTATCAAATCTAATACATTTGAGTGCATATCACATTCAGTGATAAGTGAATAGCTTATCACTTAATTTTGTAAGCAAGTTTTATCTAGAAAATTTAGTGCCACTTAAATTAATTCAAATATTTAATTTTGGATTATCAAACGCGTCTGAATACATTAAGATCTGAATTTATTAAGTTTAAATATCAAATTGAATTATCAAACAAACCTAAGTCTACACCCTAATTATGGTCCTTCGGTACCTTTTTTTTTTGGGGGTTTTCTCAACCCAGTAGCGGGGCGTGCATGCAGTCAAGGGGGATGTGTCCATTTTGAACTCCATGGCGTAAATTCGTACAACTGCACGCACCGTTCAATGTAAGTAGTATATGGTTTACACATTCCTATTGCAAAGTATTACAAACTGTTCGGGATGAGTTATAATACATTAACAATATTGTACATTCTTTAGAGCAATTGTACTGATGATTTTTCTAGCTCCAAATCCATAGAGAATAGGGTCGGTTACATAAGCGCGTTCTTGACAATGGCATGCAATCCTCATTAATCATTATGGCATGTATCTTTACAAAGAAAGCCAGATTTGTTGTCATTTAGCTTCTTATTTTATTGACTCTCTTAACCAACCTTCAAAGTTTTGTCGTGTTTTAGCACGAAAACAGTCTGATGATGAGAGGCTCCATTTTCCTTGAACCTACTCATTAAATAACATACCTGAGAAGAGTTCCCGTGTGCTGTTCAATTATGAGTCAAGTTGACCATGAGTTTGATCTGAGTTACCACACAGAAGAATCAACATTAACAAGCATGAGCTGATTAGAGCATAATAATGATTGTAATCTTATACTAGTACTAGAAGTAAATCATAAATATCCTCCATGAATTGAAGGCTGAAAATAATGATGATATTAGTTTCTCTCGTGACCTAATTACTTCATTGCTACTCTGAGCAGAACTAGAAGCCATCAACATGATGTTAGCCAGAGAAACCAGGACTCAGATTTCCCCACAAAATATTTTCCTAAGCTATTACCTCAAGAACCTTTAATCTCTCTCTATATCCTTGTCTCTGCGGACTTCTCATCTGACTTCTTCAAGCTCCCTAAAATACCATCAACCAACTTGTCTTTATTTTCCACGGCTTGGTCTTGAACGAACGAGTAAGCCTTCAGTGATCTCTGCTTCTTAGCATTTTTCACCACAGAAGGTTCATTCTTGGCAGTGGATGCAGCTTTAGTTGAAACCCAAGAACTATTTCCGGAAGAATCAGCCCCAGCCTCAGGATACTCTAATGTACCCCTCTTAGTGTTCTCCTCCTTACTACTGTACCATGAATCCAGAATCTGCAGTAACGAACTATCTTCCTCGTTGCCTGTTTGCTTCTTTTGGCTTTCTGATTTCGTGGACGACAAAGGCTCTTCTTCAGAATCAGAGAAGTCATCATCAGACAAGCTTTCATAATCATGACGAATCTTTTCAACAGTTTCATCTTTTACTTTCCTACTCAATGCTGGCCCACTTTCATTCCTCTTGGAGCCCAAGTTAGCAACTGGACCAAGTTCATCCCATGAAGAATCAGTATCATCCTCCTTCCCTGACGAATCAGATAATTCGGTCTCAGAATGACCTTCTCTACTGCCAAAATTGCTTCTCTGAACAAATGGATCCATGTTGTCTGGGCTAAGACTCTTTAGGACTTCAGTAGTGGGAAGAATATAAGTGGACTCTATCCTCACCCCAGGCATTATTTGAAGAAGAGTTGCTAATTTTTGGTAACCTAGCTTCTGTACATCCAGAGGATAGCTGTATCTCTCAAAAAACACTTTCCTAAAGGATCCAATGTTAAATCCCTCTGGGTATTTCTTTACAATTTCATCAAGAAGCTTCTCACAGTCTGCAAGTATCTCAGTCCTGGACTTTCCAGAAAGCATTCCCTCAATGTCAGGCTGAGACACTCCAGTGTGTGGAGGATTTTGGTGTCTTTTCTGTCTATCAATTTCTCGCGGTCTCTGTGACAAGGAAGATGGCTGTGTGTCTGAAAAGATAGAACTCAACCCATTGGACTGACGAGAAACATTAGTAGATTGACTTGATAAATCTTTCTCATCAGAGTTGATGAGTTTGAAAGGATAATTTTGGCAGGGAGATTCTTCTATCCACTTCTTATCTGAAATCAATAGGTCCACAAGGTGAAGAAGATCAGATTCATTAAGGGATTTAAGAAGTGAAGGTCCTTCTCTTTGCAGGTTTTGCCCCATCTGCACCCTGATACAAAATGATAGTAGCCAATTAAATCCTTGTAACTTTGTAACCTTTTTATCATAAAACCATAAGAAGGAAGAGATCCACACACAACTACAGTTCAAGTTGAACCTGTCAAATAAACGAGCAGTATTTGAAAAGGCAAAGATGCAATCATCATTTTTCTGAATTTTCCAGGGTTTGAATCTTGTTCACCAAGATTTCTATAATTTTTGCATTCTAATTTCCTACTATGTGCTTTGTTTACTGTATGTCAAACTACATTAATACGAGACTTCAAAAAAGCAAGTGACAAGGACAAGTTATAATTTGAATAAGATTATACCTCAAAGGTGTTGTTAATTTATAATAGAAAATATGAAGCATCATATATCATGTAACAAGGTTTAAGGTTCATGTACCAAAGACATTCAAACAGTGAAAAGATATATGACAACTAAATGTGCACAAAAACAAAAAAAAATTGCTCAATTCATTTGCTGAACTTCGTTGCTGCATGTGACAAGTTCCTAGAAAAATTTTTAAAAAAAGTACTTTTACCAATAACTTCAATTGTGTGAAGAAAGATTAGCAGGAAACCCTTGACCACAGTTATATGTTCCAATTGTTGGTCTCATAAATAACAACCTTCAGCATGCAGAAAACATACTTTCCACAGATTTGGCAATTTTCTTCTGATGTAATTGAGAACACTACCTTAACATACACAGGTATTTCTGAAATAACACAATATACTTAAAAAATTGGTACCTTTTCGGCCACCTGAATGACAGTATAAATGTCAGACTTTCCAAATCAATGATGACAGAACCAAACAGGGCTCAAAACATAAAAAGTCCAACTAAAAATACTTCTTCTCTCTCTTTATGGTTGTGAGGTATGTGCGTGCTCACCAACTTTCACGTTAAAAAGAAACCTATAGGGTCTCACAAAACTGTCTAGTAATTCAAACTTCATCATGTTGAGATGCTCTATGGTTACTTAGGGTTGGGAGGGGAAAAGAAGGCAGTAGAAAGCACCAGAAATGTACTGATGAACGAAAAAATGGCATTAAGAGCAAGTACAGCTGATCACAAAGCCTATGTTGTAAATATGCAGTTACGATTATCAGACAAAGTAAAAGGAATCAGACCAACCAAGGTCAGAAAAGGTACTTTCAATTTGTTTGAAAGAAACAATAGTCATGAAAGTGATTATTAAAAATCCCCATCAATAAACATGAAACTAATTCAAATTTGACAATTGAGGCAGTAGATAACTTGATTATGCATGAAATCTCAAGGAAGAGTTTCTTTTTACAACTTGTTTATTCCAGATATTATTTTTAAATAAGCTGTAACTTGCTCGAACCAGTAAATAGAATTATAGGTACAGTTGCTGGTAGAAAACCAAAATAGTTCAGTAAGCACAAATGAGAAAAGTTATGACAGATAGCATGACAGAAGGTTTACCTGGTCTTTGACTGCAGGACGATAGCTGAAGCATTGCCAGTGCCTAAAAATGTTTTCAAGTCATCCCAAAAACTTTCCTTCACAAATATTCCATTCTTATTACAAGCAAGCTTGGTATCGTTCATCTTTTCACTTGATTCTCCACCTGAATCATCAGGCTGCTCTGAATTCTCCCAGATTCTAAGCATGCTCAGAAGTTGGCCGAAAAAGCCAGAGCTTTTCCTGGATCTGTCATTAGTGGGGGAAGAACTACTAGAGATATTGCCATCAGGAATCGTTTCAATTCTGGTAGTTGCCAACGAATCTGGACAGACAGATTCAACAGACTCAACTCTTGATTGCACATGCTCTCCCTTGGCTTTCTTCTTCTCATCCAAAATCCCGTCACTAGTACTTGAAAGCTTTTCATCTGGACTGTCATAACTAGGCCCATACCATATCCTGCATATCCTTCTGAAGAACCCCAGTTTGTTCTTCAGTTCAGATTCGGGCCTATGTACTACTAGGTGCAACTGACTCTCAGTTGCTTTAGTATTATCCGCAGCCTGAACAAGTGCTGATGATTCTTGTACTTCTCTCGGCTGCTCCTGCACTTCAGTTGTTGCATCTTCCGGTGTTACTGAGGCACTCTTCAATTCTGGCTCATTCAATGGAGGCACAGGAAGGGTTCTTATTGGCTTCTGAAATTCAGTCAAAGGTTCTTGCTGTTGTCCACCATTTTTCATCGGAGCTTCAGAAGATGCAGGTATTGATTGCTTCCCAACCAACTGGTCATTACAAGGTCCTTTTCCAGCACTTAGTTTGCCAGCAGCAACGGAATCGACTTCTCCTTTATGTATAGGCCTTGTGGTTATGCTTGGACTCGGACTGAGGTCAGCTTGCTCAGAAACTTTAGGTGCAATACCAAATACAAAAAACTGGCCGTCATTTCTTGGTTGAAGCCTCAAAATATGTGGCAGCGCCAAAAGAAAACGGGAGAACTTCCTGTACCCATAAAAGTCTTTGTCTACAGTTATACTACTTTTTGACAATTCAGCACGAAGTTCTGTAATGGAAATTCCTTTTGGATTTTGATGTAAAATGCTTCGTATTTGCTTTATAACTGCCTTTGGTATTGGTTGAGTTCTATTTTCGGAATTGGAATCAGGTAAGACCTCAGCTGGGGGACAAGCTGATTGCTCTGGAGGCTGGGGGAAAGCTGTCTGCTCTGTAACTGCAAAGGGGTCTTCAAGAGGTGCCTTATAGTGGCCGTACCAAGAACCATATGGACCATCTGGAGGCTGATTAAAATGCTTTCCAGAAACGTCTTCTCCTTTAAGCAAAGAATTCCAATGCCACATGATGCTTGCAGCACTGCAGAGTACGCTAGAAGCACCATGACTACTAGCAAGTAATATGTTGTAATTGTTCATTCTTAGACGGTGCAAAATGCCAGCAAAATCTCTATCACCAGATATTAGAAAAAGATGTGCTGGTGGAGGGTTTTGGGAAACCCAGTACATGAGGTCAACAAGAAGAGACCTATCTGCACTGTTCTTCCCACCTACAATGACAACAGAAAATTAACTGGTAAAACAGATTATAGCAATAGAGAAGATTGCAGACCGTAAGAGATTTATAAATTATTCATTGAACCATAAGATGTGAATATCAGAAATCAAACCAGTTCTCTAAATAAGTATAACGCGAGCAACAGTACAAATAAGAGCAGAACATAAAAGTGTCAAGCAGACTGGTTAAAGCACATATGACATGTTTAGCCTAATAATAAGTGTGAAAAGCAGCAAAGGAGACAATTATTGTTGCATTACCAGATCAATCACTATATACACTCTGAAAGGCATTGATAAGACTAGAAAGGTAAAAGACCAAGATAAGCAGCTCAAGCACTGTAAGCGCCAAATGAAGCAACCATATCTGATTACCCCATTATTCACCCTCAAAAATTTCATTGATGGATAAAACAGCTTAATTCCACAATAAGTTCCAAGTAGCTTTTTAGACCACAACTATTCATCATGCAATATTCCCAGGTGTGACATTTTACAAAGTATACTCACATTCTCATGGAACCATCCATTAACAGAAGTTCAAAAAATGGAACTAAATGCAGTAAAATGTTACAACACTGTCCTCCCTCCTGCTAAGCTATCTAAGGAATGTCGAACTCTTAACAAGATATTTTCACAAATTAGTAGGATTCTGCATAATCCTAAAAGTCCCAGCATATTCGTACAAGCATTCTAGTTCATTGAGAAACTATGACATTTCACACTAAAATTGCATTTTATTGCCACACACCACTTAGTGAAAAGTCATAATCATCAA